CTAAAACTTCTTGCTCTTCTTTTTCTCCTTCAAAATTTTGTGCTCTCCCCTTGGTCTTTCTCTTAGCTAAAAATCTCATGCAAAATGGAGAAGGAGGGGTATTTAAAATGCCTCTCAAGTTAACCTTTCATACTTTGCCATCAATCTTGCACAAAATTACAATGGCTGTGTCATTTTTCCAAGCCTCCATGTAAGTTCAAAGACCTCATTTTTCCCTCAAAGTTAGAAGAAATTACCATAGCCATGTGTCTTCATTTCCATGCTCTCATGTGGTTTTATTTAGAAGTTAATTTCTTTCCAGTTTTTCCCTTCAATAAATGCTACAATTTCATAACAATTCCTTTGCAATTTGCCTTTTGACAAATGTTAAAATTCCAATACTATACCCTCATGAAAAAAATGGCACCAAAAATGGAGAGAAAATAAGAAAACTTCGTTAAAAAAATAAACCCTAAATATAATGTATGAGGTACTTTTTCGGGTCTTGACTTCTCCTATAGCACTGACATGTGGTCTCTCACCATAAATGGCTTCATATGATGTTATAATGACAAATATTATATGGGAAGTGACTTTAGGGTGTTTTGTTCTTTAAAGGAAAAATCAAATTACTTTATTTCACCATAATTTTGACCAAACGCTTTCTGATGTTTTCTAGCTTGTCTGGAAATTCACCCCTCTACTTTACTAGCTCCCTTTTATCATGGGAAAATTATATAATTTTTTTTAGACCAAAACTCAACCTATAGATTTCTCTTTTAAAATTTTATCGGATACCTTTTTCTTAGTAAGATTCTACTTTAAATATTTTTAAAGCCAACCTCTTCATTTTTAAAGGTAAAAAATAATTTTATAACCTTCTATAATCTCCAAACTATTTTTTTTCCATTTCTATCTGATTATTTGAGGTCTCTGTGCAATTAAAATAATTGACTTTGACTGATTTTTTCTTAATTAGCCAAAGTTCCCATGATTAGTCGAATTTCTAAAAATCTCTTAAATTCATTCTAGGTGTATTTTCATCATTTTTAACTTCAAATAGACCTTCACACCTCATTTTCCACTCAAGATTTTTTGGAATTTCGGGCATATTTATTATCATGACCCTTTTTGCCTTAAACTTCTCAAACTTATGGTTTGGTCCTACCAAGGCTTAACGTTAAGAATCATCTCATTAAGATCTCTAGCATGACTTCTGGCCTATAATCATCCTTATTTCTTATACTCATTCCTCGAGACTTTATCGATGTCTATATCTTCCTCATTTTTTGGTTCCAGAAAACTTTCATTTTGCAATTTGGTCTCTGAGAATCATTTTATCATTTCAAGAAATTTTTGAGACTTCTACCAAAAAAGGTTTGATAGCATGCCTATTTTTGGCTCTTTCTTGCACTTCTAGTCCTAATATTCAAGATGTTACAATATATTATCACTTTTCTACTCTTTGGGTAAGAACTGCACCAATGCATAATTAGAAGCACTACACAAGAGCTTAAAAGGAAGGCTCTAATTAGGTAGATGAATGATAGGAGGTATAGATTAATGAAACAATCATTTTAAATAAACCGATAAACTTAACTTTTTCAGAATAACTTCAAGAAATAACTTTTTATAACTAAACTATATTAGCAATAAACTCAAATCTATCACAATCATGTAAACTAACTTACTATATAATAATGTTATTTGTGATAGAAAAGAGCATCACCTAATCATACATCCTATTATAGATAAAAGAACTTTCCTTGACTCATTCAAATGCAAACCTTGTTAGAATAGATCAATCTCATCTAACATAGTGATAAAACAACATATTATATAACTCATATAAAAATCAAAATAGTAAGAATTAAGTCCCATCTATATTTTATAATAAATTCATAATAAATAGATCACATGCGATTCTAGGCCTTTGACTAACTATAAACATTCATACTACAATAGAACAGATAAAAGGATACAAAAAAGGATACAAAAACATAATCATGCATGAATTAATTAAATAAATATTGTCCTAGGGTGACAATATACATGAAACAACATAACTCATAGATCGAGGAGGCGGTATAAGTCGCTATTGTAGCTTTTCTCCTCTTGAGTCTTTTCTGATGTCCCTCCTCTAAAGTTTTCACTTGGAAAATGTTAAATAACAAGGGTGACACAATGTCTTAGTAACTAAATCCATACCTATCACACACACTAGCATGGGCTAGCGAGGTGTCAGGTAGGGTACACATAGGTAATAATAGTCAATAGACATTTATTCAACAGTTAAACTCACAATGACCATATAAGTCAGATATTTCTGCCAACCTCATGCAATTGATAATATCATAAGATATAACATACTTTTCATTTATTCAAAAGATATTAATATCAATGAAGATTTCATGTCAAATGAAATCCTTGAACCCAAATCCACTCTTATATCCTCCTTATTTTTGTTGATTGGATCAATGGGCTAAGTTCTTTTTATTTGACTTGCTACTCTCACAAGCTCACCATACGAGTGATGTGGACTAGCCAAAGACCACAAGCACTCAGTGAACCATGGGTCCCTCCTTGAGGAACTAGTAGGGCGTCACAGTCCCTTGAGGAACTAGTGGCACAATAAGACTGGCCAACCATAGAGATATTTATAGAGGCTAATACCACGTGGCAAGTATATAGATCTTAGGAACTCCAATCATCTACTCCATAACCCATCCCAAATGCACATAATTCAAAATATTCAAGTGGATATACACTGATATAGGAATATCATTCATCAAAACTTTAACTCATGCTTCATATTCCAAAGATCAATTATTCTCAAATTTACTTTATTCAGTCCCCTTCAAAATAGTATCCCATAAGACAGTTTATATGAATAAAAATTTCATATAAAAGAATTTCAATTATAAAACTACTCACCAACACATACCAGAACATGCAACAGATAAAAATTTAGTTAACTAATCTCCTAGCTAACAGTCAAATATAAACGAGGTCCAAACTTGAAAAAACCACAATAAGGTTTATATCGACAAATTAAATTAAAACATTATCTCTACAATATTAGAGTAAACTACTCACAAGCTTCTAGCCTCTAACTCCCCCTCTAAAACCTTCAACCTTTTGAAAGGTTTTTTCTAAGGTTTAGAATAAGGACATATATATGAGAATTTAGATTCAATTTCTAGGTTCTTAACTTAGATTATCCTTTAATTATTAAATTATATCAGTAGAATTACCAAATTCATAACCTAGATAGAAAATTCACAATTTATGGCTTATGTTCTATCCCCGGGTACCAAATTCTGATTATTGATCGTACCATTGAATTTAATGTTTCAATGTCACAAATCGATTCTCTATATTTTGGTTCAATGTAAAGGTGAACAAATTTAAAAATGATAATTTACTATTCAAGGTTCGATTTACAAAATCTACAAACATGAGTTCAATCTGTACCTAATAACTCGTACCCCAGAGGTCAAATTGTCGATCCGACCATTGGACAAGTGTGAAGTCTCAAACCGGCTGACCAAATTTCAGCTTGATCCAACGGTTCATGGACTCATAACAACACTTTACTAAGGCTGTCTTAGTTTTATGAGAAAATTATTTAACTTATTTTTAACTCTCTCCTGCTATCACCTATATATAGGCTCCTAGAGTTTCATCTTTCCGTTACTTAGTCGATATGAAACTTCTCAACATTATTATTTTATTCATTTATTCATTTATTCATATATATTTATAGATACACACACATATATATGATTATAATTAGTTTAATTGCTTATATGTACTTAACATATATCTATTCGATCTTAATAAAAATTTACTTATATTTTAAGGATAAAAAAAATTAGGATGTTGCAATTAATACTAAAAGTAGGGTTGGCCCTTGGTCGTCTATGTCATGTGCCTTATTTTGTCTTCATCGATCTTTCATATATTATTTTCATTTTATTCTTAAATATTTGGGTGATATTACTCCTTTTTTAAAATTTTCGGGCCAACATTGAACTGAAAAAAAAAAAATCAAGATAGGCATTGCTCCTTCATAAAAACTTTTGGGGCAAGGATGACCAAAGAAGATAGTATGGTCATGCCCACACACAATTATACATAGCATAAGATCCAATGTGATAGATGTTCGTTTGGCTACCGTTCGGGCGGGGTGACGTTGCTTTTTTTCGTTTTTCTAACATTTCCAATACGATATTGGGTGAAAAGAAATCTGGATACTCATAACTCTTTTATGAAAACTCCAGAGATCAAAATGAGTCTTAACCTTATTTTTAATTGTGTGGATGCTCGATATATTTCCCGTGAATATCAGATATCCTTCACCATTATTAATCTAAAAAAAAAAACTTCGCTTTAGGCTTTCTCCTATGAACCATATGGACGATGTTGATTTTTTTTTGGTTCTTTTTTTTTTTTTATTTGAAGGTTTTAGATCCAATATAGGTTGGGGCTGAAAATAATTAATCTTGCTTGCCATATTTAGTTAATATGCTACAACAAGAATTTGGGAAACTTACTAATATAATGTTTGATTTCTCTAACCAATCGAAATTTGCCATGGAAGCATCAAATTAAAGGACATATAATCGACATATCTCAAATAAGTTACCATTACTATAAAATATAACATCCATAATAAGTCACACAATTCGAAAATCATGAATAATACAATTTTATGCACTGCCCAGAAAAATATAATTTAGTTCAAATTATCTATAATTTTGACAAAACTCTGGTTAATCTAAAATATGATGAACTATGTACATATATTATGGCAAACCCATTATAAATGAATCCCCAAGCAAGTGAAATTTGAAAAACGAGGAAAAAAAAACACGAGTAAAATAGTCAAATTAATAAGTTAAATTTAACACACAATATTCAAACAACATGAATATAAATAATAGTTTTAAGAGATCATCTTCAATCTCTATATCATCACATACAGTTCAATATTATCAATATCCAATTAAGTCGGAGAATTATTGTTTTCCATAGCCCCAAAAGTCGACTTCTCCACGCAATGAAAGTTGCTGCTGATGATTGATCTGATGAACAGACTGTGGATTACTTGCATCCTCGAACCTTACTCCTTTAGATGATTCTTCATTTCCGAGATGATGAGAAGTGACCACAAGCCTATCAAGCACACCCCATTCATTAAACCCACCTTGATCTTCTCTTCCTGTTCCAATCTCTTGACCTGTGGGTTCACACGTGCCAACCTCCATATTTCCGGTCTCCGAAACTTGGTACCTCAAGCCCTCACTGCCGCCACTATCACAGTCGCCGGCCGGGTTCGTCATGAGTTGTTTGGCAGCCATGGAAGGAGTGTCTGAAGGTAGGGCTGATGAATAGGAATTGTAGTGAGCTGCAGGAGGAAGGAGGGGCTGAGCCTGGAAGAGAGAGTATTGAGGGTTTTGCAAGTGAGGAGGGGGATAGTGAAGAGCAAGCTCGGGTTTTTCAAGTTGGAACCCAGAAGAGTTTCTGGGGTTTTGCTGTTGTTGATGATGATGATGCATTAAGTATTGGCTCTCTCTGCGCATGAAGGAGCGGGGTTGGTTGATGCTTGAGGAATTGTTGAGTTGTTGGTCTGTGTTATGCATGGAGGTTCCTTCATTTCCAATTTTGAATAGGTTCTTCTTCTTGAACACTCTGCAAACCACCCACCCATCTTCCTGCAAAAAAAACAAAAGGAAAAAAAACCAAGTAAATAAAATGCCATTGGTCTTGATACTTTTAATCACAAACTAGTAAAGATTTTAATTTTGCCCTTACAAAAAGAATGTTAATTTGCATAAAAAAGGCTTATATATATAGCTCTATATGACTTTGTGAAATAACAGAATTTAAACTCAATAAAACAAGTTACGTGCATATGAAATGGCCACAGATTATACATATTGCCCTCTGTTGGATGTTTCATATGGGTGTTTATCTATAAAGGAATTATATCTTATGAGCTTAATTTGAAACTAAATTTTCAGTTATGAGATTCATGTGGATTTAGTTTTATATTAACTCTAATTCATTCTTATTTATTCCTTTTCATCATAAAATAAACATCCTCATCTGTGCTACATAAATTAAAGTTCATATTTTCCCATGGACTAAAGAATGAACAACCTATAGCTAGTCTTCTTTTCTCTCCTTCCCTCTTTGGGTTATAATATTCAACTACTTTTGCTCCTTAATTCAGAAAGGGTTTATTCAATCCTAGTGGACATCCGTGTATGCGGAATAAGTTCTTAAGGAGAATATCCTTGGACATGACTCAAAACATCTAATTTAGTACTCTTTCAGTCCTAAATGTAAAACCTATTTTATAATGTAATTTATACTACAAAATAAGTCTTATATTTAGAACTAAAAGGAGTACTAATTTAATAAGTGAATATCATGCCACTTTTAAAATGTGACACAAAGTTTGCAAAATCTTCAGAGAATTATTCAACCCAAAAATTAGCACCAAAAACATGTAAACTCATACGAACAAAAAATTAAGAGATGATGACTATATATATGTGTACTTACATTGGGATTAGGTTGGGCATCGTCAGCATCTTCGAGGCGATATTCATGCATGATCCAGTCAGTCTTGTGGCCATGAGGAGCTCGGCCTCTATAGAAGACGAGAGTCTTCCTCATGCCAATTTTCTTGAAGCTGTTTCGGATGCACTTGTCTCGTCCGGTGGCCTTCCAGAAGCCGGCGTTCGTTGCCCGGTTTGTCCTCGACCCCGTCGGATACTTCCTGTCCTTGTGGCTGAAGAAGTACCACTCGTTCTGTGGTGTGGACCCTATTCTACACCTTTCTGTTGTTTCATTCATCAAATCATCACAATCACGAACCAATTTTAATTGATGCATTATAATCTTCATATACATTCACACATCATTGTATACGCCTTGAACGACTATGCATAAATATTTGTTCAAGCATGTGACCTTGCTTAAGAAGAATGGAGCTCATTCCAATCCACTAACTATTGTTGATGTGTATATGTCAAATTATGGGCTATGTTTAGGTATTTTTAAACTTTTAATTTTTATAAAAAATGCTTTTGAATAGTATGAATGCATGCAAACTAAATCCTTCTTTAAGGATTGGAGGGATTAGAGAGGGCCACGCCCCGAGTTCTTATTTTTATTTTTTGTTATTGTGTAGGTATTGTACTTCCAACTTTCTAATATTTATATGAATTTTGTACTATATATAAAGGATTAATATAATTTTTGGTCCTTAAAATTTAGGCATATTTTGGTTTCGGCCTCACAAATTTAAAATTCATAGTTTTACTCCCTGAAATTTAGTCCCTTTCAAAACATCAGTCTTTGGAGGCGTAATAGTGTTAAAATCTACTAAAGTGTCATAAATGTTGTTATAGTAGTGATATGAACTCACTAGATGGCATCTAGTTACATCTTGTGTAGATAATAGAAGGGGGCAAAAAAAAAGAATAAGTCCTTAAAACATAGCTGTTTAGTCCCTTTTTCCTCATTGTTGGTTTTGAGGAGGTACTCATTGCACTGCATTTTAAAAACTTATCCTTATCTATATAATCTATTATCCATGCTAGATTTAGCTAAACATCATCTGCTAAATTTACATCACCACATTAACGCCATTTATGACAATTCATCATATATATTTTAATATCATTACATTTTTAGGAATTAATGTTTTAAGACAGACTAAATTTTAAGGATTAAAATCACTTTTAAAATTTTAGAGACCAAAATCAAAATGGATTCAGATTTCAATGACCAAAAGTTATATTAAACATGTGTGTGTGCGTGCGCGCATGCAATCCTTGCTCTCTGAGGCAAAAGAAACAACAAAAAAAAAAGTATATAATCCTTGCTCTCCAACGATATAGATTATGCAACTAGAGGAAAATAGACATATGGAGATATGTTTTATTAATAAGATGAGCACACACTCACTCTGTCTATCTCTCTCTCTCTCTCTCTCGTTGCAAAAATTAAATCTTTCTATAAAAATACACAAATTGATTGATATATTTTGTTTGATGGTATTTTATAATGGAAACGAATTTTTTTTGCTTTATACCCAGAAAGTTGATCATTCCAGAAATAATTTATAAATATAAGATTGGAGATTTTGTATATATAAGAAAAAAATCAAGATTATTGATTATCGATATATGTCTGAAACAGTAGAACAATGTCAATATTATTCATATTATAAATATAATGGTATTAAGTTCAAACAAGAGTTAGATAGTAGTATTTCCTTTAAAAAGAAATCCGAATTAAAAAAAATTGGGCACTTTTGTCAACAGATTACGTAGAAAACGAGACAGCTGAGACCATTCAACGATGCACTACGTGAAGAGAGGGATTCATTTATGAACCGTCTCCGTGAAAGCCAAAACTACCTGAATTCATCAGTATTTTAATTAGCATGTGATCAGTTTTGAAATATGAGCGCTACAACTTTCTAGTATTTAAGGGGGGGAAAAACGATTTCATCTCCTGATTTTAAATACTCCTCTACTCTTATTGAAGAGAGATTTTTTTCCCCTATTTATAAGTTACATCATTAAATTTTTAACATTAATATACTATTTTACCCTTTATTTATTGTTGTATAAATTGTTATTTTATTAGAAAGCATATATACTAAATAGAAGTTAGAGAGTTGTCAAATTTTAAGGAAGAGTTGATGAGGTTTAAGATTTTTCTTTGTTATGATAAAACACATTAGAAGTTACTTATAAATAGGAGAAGGGATCCAGAAAAGTATATAAACTAGATAACCGGTCTATAAAGATTAAGAAAATTAGTTTACTTATTTATAAAAAAAAATATGTCTTAATTTTCCTAGTATACTATAATTTGTATTGGGAAATACTTCAAGAAGAAAAATCCATTATTATGTGCAATTAATAGAGGAATTATAAAAAATTTATAAACTTGAAAAACATATTAAATTAAATTAAGATATTACATTTAGGTTTAAATTAAACTACTCTTCCATCAAAAAAAGTTAAACTCCTTTACTAGGTCTTATATATGGAACCGGATACAGTATCAAAATATTCAAGACACATAAAATGATATGCAAATATGGGCTAATTATGCTAAAACCTATGCATTCACTTGCTACACATCGTCGAATTGAAAATTTTAATTCAGGGTGATTGTGTATTCCGTAATTAAATGATTATGTATTTGTTGGCCAAGAAATTTCAATGATTATGTATTTTATTGATTATAAATTATAAATTAGGTGGCTTCATGCGTTGTACAAAGCTGGGATTTTTTTTATTTTGAAAGACTAAAAAAGGACGTCAAAAAAACCGAAAAAGAATTAAAAAAATTATCGTAAATCCCAATATCTGCACAAACCAAGGTGAACTGTTCTACTATGAATCATATATTAATGCAAGGATTGGGGAAAACACACAGACATATATAATTAAATATAGTTGTAAACACTTTTAAGTTTAGAGAATGAAAACGAAAGTAGAAAACAAGTATACTTGAGAATCTTACAATGAAATCGAGCTAAATCTTATAGTTAGAATTTATTATCAATTGCTTCGTGAAGTATCTCATAAAAATATTGTTCGAAGTTCAATTATATAACTAAGTTCTCTCTTATTAGACTAATTAATCTAATATTATATAACTAAGTTCTCTTTTATTAGACTAATTAATCTAATCTTATATCTATGCGGCATGAAATTAAGCACAATATTTAAATTAAGGAACACAAGGAAAAATCTAAATTTATTTGTAGATGACAGAACTGAACATGCAAAACCGAACCCAGAACTTCCAGAAAATCACTTTCGGGTTAACCGAGTTACCAGAAATCTGACTGCTGAATTCAAATTCAAAGTCTTCTAAATAAATCATCAAAGAAGTCTTGTATGTGAAGACCAACTAATTAAACACAGAGTTTAAAGAAGAACATATGAAAACAAAACAAAAGCAAAACCAATCAATTGACCAAAATATTGTTGTACCTTGCAAGTCCCACGGCTCAATCTTGTTCAAGTCCACTTCTCTAATGACCTCCATATCAAACTTCTGAAAGTTCACCTTCTTCTTCAAGTAATAATGAAGAAGTTCTTCATCGGTCGGATGAAACCGGAAACCTGGCGGCACGCCACCGTTCGAAGAACCCATGAATCAAACGAAGCTATAAATTCTTTTTTCAGAAACTCAATCACTATTCGAAACCCTCAAAAACGAACAAAGAATTATGCATGTCTATGTGGTCCTGTGTATATATACATAGCTTTCTCTTTGAACTTTTATGAGGAAAATTGTGGTTGGAGGCTATATATGTGCATCAGTGTCAACGCCTTCATTACAGAACTGTGACGATAGGAGAAGGGTTGACGGCCGGTGACTACGCCGACGGGGAAGGTTAAAGCTGGGTATCGTAAATAGCAAGTTTACGGAATGAATGAGACTATACATATATGATTATTCTTATTATGTTATAATAATAGTTATTATTATCCTTTTATTATTATATTATTTTGTGTTTTATTTTTACTGTTCATGCCATATGATGTTCCCCACAAGCAAAGTTTGGTGCGTAGGATACACTCTCTCATCTCTACTACTGACCCACATTCACAAATTCAGACAGGAACGGATATCCTTTTACTCCTCGTTAATTAATTTGGGGTACAGGGTGACTAAGAATGAAATTTAACTATAAGGTTTAAATATTTTGGCCAAAAAAGAAAAGCAATAGATTTTACAGCCAACTAAGTTGTGCTCCTTCCCGTTCTATATATAAGAGAATCTTTTTAGATATGGAGAATTCCTGTTTACTGTTTTGATGTTATTTATAAGAAGGAGAGAAAAAAGTTTTTGATATCATATTTGTAAATCACATCATTGAATTCTGGACATGAGTGTACAACTTTGCTATTCATTTAGATTATTAGTTACTTTGGAAAGTGGATATACCACTAGCTTGTGTCATTAATATAAGGCATAATTAACTAATTTAAAAAGATTAAAAAAATTGAATAAAATATTTTAAAGTATTTATGTCTATTGTTTTTCTCCAACTAATTTGTTTGATTTATAAACTAATATATAATCTAATGATACACAAAAATATTTCAAAGAGATCATGCAATGTATACAATAATTAAATAATTTATTTAATTTCCTTAACCTCTTTAAATTAGTCAACCGAGTATCATATAAAGAATTGAAGGTATTATTAAATAATGATAAAATTATAATGCTATTAAATTTTAACTTAGAGCTAATGAAATTCATAGTACTTTTTGGTTCAGGTGAAATATAATAATATGTTAGAAGTAACTTATAAATAAAACCAAATGAGTATAGAGATACTAATGCATTTTCTGAAATATTTAATATCATTTTCCGTTTTGGCCTCAATTACTTATTTATTAGTTTCACTACATTAATTATCCACTCACTCATTTTCTTTTCTTAAGGGTGTTTTTGAAAAATAAGTTATATATTTTTTAACATATTTATTGCCTCTAACTAATTTTTACCTACTTTTATCTATGTAATTCAGTTATTTAAATTGTATCTCGTAATCAACGGAGTATAAAACTCTTTCCTCTAGAGGTTTTCTCCATATAACTTTTCTACCGTTGGTTTATTACTTCGATAAGGTGTGATATCCATGAACCCCTTAAACTTTAGGTTATCATGTTCAAATAATATTAATTTCGATGAGTAACGCATCATGCTAAGAAATCCTAAAACATTCTAATATTGTTGGTGAAAAAATAGACCAATGCCTCTTTGACCAAAAAACAAAAGAAAAAGAAAAAATAGACCAATGAACAACAATATAATGCAACACGTTAACATCAGTTTGAAAGTTTTCGAAGCTTTCTAATTGGTTTAAAGGACTCATTTGCCCATAATCAAAAGTTTACTATATACCATTCAACTTGTAAAGTTAATGATGGGAATAATATTATTAGTAACTTGCATAAAATTTTAGAATATTGAATTTCTTTCAAATTACATACACACAAACACAATACTTATTTGTATTTGGTTATATATGATTGGGTAGCCAAAGAAAAAAATCAGAGCAAACTATGTATTCTTAAAAGTAACTTGAGTTAGCACATCCCACAAGAATGTTACGAGTCTTGGAACTCGTATCAATGGTACGAAAACTTCATTAACTAGTAATTTATAAGAACTTCTATAGACTTTTTTTTTTTTTTTAATAAAACTTCTATAGACATTTTTAACTCATACAAGGTATGCTTCAATTATCCTGGCTTGTATATATTGAAGATTTGACTCACCTGAACTTTTTTCTTAAAAGAAAACATGTAATTTGAGAGTCATATATATTAGCACCAAAATATATTGGCGCGCACACGCATGTATATCTTAGCACCAAAAATATATTAAAGCATATTATAAAAGTGTTCCCTTCCATTTTAAAATAATTGTCTGTTTAAAATGATTCTGATTTTGCTTCAAAATGATTGCCGGCCCCTTTATGAAGCATTAATTTTCTTATCATTTTACCCTTCGTTATTGAAAATAAAGATAGATGGAGCCCAAAATGTTTTATATATATATATACATATACATATATATATATAAGAAGCACACTTTATGTATTCGAATATATATGATAGTATTTTAGTTAAAAAAATAAAATCTACTGCTATATTTAATATTCCCTTTGATCATAAGCACAAGGTTCCAATTTACTTTGTTATTAAATTTATAATTTATTTTTTCAAACTATCCTTACTAAATGCATATGTAAAGGGAGTTTTCATTAATACGAATAGTTTTCAATACAAATAATTGGATGAAGAAGTTTAGAAAAACTAATTATATTGTTTTTACAAGGGTTAATATAATTTTTAATCTCTAAAATGTGAGCTTATTTGATTTCGGTCCTTCAAATTTCAATTTTGATCCTTCAAATTTCAAACTGTCGTTTTAGCCCCTAAAATTTTATCTATCTTAAAACATTAGTCCCTGACGATACAATGGTATTAAAATCTATTGAAGTGTCATCAATGACGCTAAAAGTGGTGATGTAGACTTACTTGATGATGTATAACTAGATCTTGTATAAACAATAGAGTGCAGCACAATGAACAACTCTTAAGTGATAAAGAAAAAACATGAGGATAGAGAGCTACTTTTTTAAGACTTTTTTTTTTCTCTTCTTTTATTCACACAAGATCTAATTAGGTGCCATCTGATGAGTTTACATTACCATTTTAATGCTGTTTATGACACTTTAGTAAATTTTAACACTGTTACACCTCTGGGGACTAACGTTTTAAGATGGAATAAATTCCAAAAACTAAAACTATGGGTTTAAAATTTGATGGACTAAAACCAAAATAGACCCAAATTTTAGGGACCAAAAGTTATATTAATCTTTTTTACAAATAATTAATTTAACTAATTTTTTTAATACCTATAAATTAGCTATTTAGTTCCTATATTTAGGATAAGAAGAAGTAACTTGTTTTTTCATCTATATATATGACATTAAACAACAGCCATTTTGACATGTATGAAGGTTTTGGATCGTATAACTAAATTTATCTAATGCTTTGGGGTGAAGATAAGGCCATAATGGCATAATTAACGTAAGTCAACCATAGCTTGCAAATTAATTTAGACCTTTTTCCTTGTAAATTAGGGAAGAGATTGTCAAAGTAAACTGAACATTCCTTTTACTTGGTTTATATTATAACTTTAGAACGTAACTATCATGAGATACTCCGTAAGACTAAAAGAAGCTACAGTATGGATCAGGTAATTTGTTGCTCAAAGTTTTATTTTTTTATTTAATTATCCTTGGTCCAGTTCAGGTACATCTTTAATTTGTGTTAAATTGAAGCAAGGATATTTATATGTGCGGTTTGAAAGCTTGATATCTGATTATTTTTGTTTGATTTTTTTAATGTTATTTTCGTAATCAACTTCCACTTGTAGTATGACCTCGAAAAAGGAAAAAACTTCCACTCGTAGCAGTAATTAATGTAGGAGCATATTCCAAATTCATTTTCTATTGGATAATTATTACTATACATTTTTTTATAAGAAACTTCAGTTTGCATTAGACCATAAAGAAAACTATAATAAAACGAAAGGTTGGAAATTTATGTCAAAGCAATCGATTAAACCATCCTATCGCCAAAAAAAATAAATTAAACAATCTAAAACTGCAGTATTAACCACTTGAGCTCGGAGTAGGCATAGATACACTTCTTCACCCTCGATTTATAAAACCATTGAAGTTTAATTTATTAATCTTTTTCATTCAAGGCAGCTAAGAGGCAAATAGTGAAGGAGATATTAAACCTCTTCTCTAAAATTTTAATTTTTTATTAGTTTACTGAAAATTCTAATTTTTTGTTAAAGCTAAGTTTTACACTCCTATCATAATTGGAAAAAATAACTTATTGAATAATGGGTTGTAGTATATTTAGTATCCTAAATTATTTTGATGCACATATTCCACATCTTAAAATATTTTGTAGTGCAATTTTATCAAGGGGTATTTAAAATGGATTAATCTCATGTTATGAGTCTTATATTGGGAAATCTCACAAGTGTTGTGGGGTTTATAAGTTCAAAAGGCTTTCCCTCCCAATAGGCTAGTCTTTTGGGATGGGCTCTCCCCTTGAGCTTATGCTCATCACATTGGTGCTTTCATTGAGAGTTGACCAACCAGAAAGGGCTACCTGCGGAGGGTTCTGACCGGTAAGAAAACCGAGTGAAGTGCCGTAGAGTGGAGCCGCCGGAGACGTCGGCTCTCGAGAGGGGTGCTCTGTTATGAGTCTCATATTGGGGAATCTCACAAGTGTTGTGGGGTTTATAAGTTCAAGAGGCTTTCCCTCCCAATAGGCTAGTCTTTTGGGATGGGTTCTTCCCTTGGGCTTATGCTCATCACATCTCACCACCAACTGATAGACCTACAACACAAAACACCTGAAAAAGTAACTTTAAGGTGCTGGATGCGCACCTTAAAAAATATTTTTGGGTGTAGAACTTCGTTTAAGATTAACTCACGTAAAGAATAATAATAAAATTTAATTTGAGCATTATAGTTTTCCAATAAAAAATATTATCAAATATTCACAATCAATTCTTCATGACGAACTGAAATTTGTCCATAAATATATGATATTAATATATATGCATATATTGAATAACCATAATGATGCATAAGTGCAT